CCAGACAATCTGCAAGCACATATTAGAGGCATATTCCAAGCACTAGCTCCGGATATACCATCTGACATGCTACTCTTGGATCGAATGCATCGCCTACCCAGACCAAGGTTCCTACCAGAGACTGCTCCGAGAGATGTATTATTGCATATGCACTACTACCATATCAAAGACCTTCTTCTTAAAACGTGCAAACGCAGGTCTACACCATTGGAAAATCATCCACAAATCAAAATCTTTGCTGACCTCTCCGCGGCTACCCTTGGCAAGAGGAAGGAATTTACCCAAGTAGTTACCACCCTGTGAGCCCACGGTCTCCGCTTTTGTTGGGGCTTTCCTACCAAGATTATTGTGACCAAAGACAACACCACCCAAGTGATAACGTTGCCAGAAGACGGTCTTCGTAAATTGCAAGCCTGGGGATTCTCGGATCAAGATGCGGAACGCACCACCTCAAAACAGATCCAATTGGATTGGCGTAAAGTGTAACCCACATACATAGATGGCAGAACTGCAAGTATACACTAACATTTGAATGTGAAAAGGACAAAAAAAAAAATTATAAAAGTGGGCACACTAACTAGCAGGCAGTTGACAGGCATCAATGTTCTCTTAATGGGACATATCTTTGTTAAAGGTTAGCAGTAGAGATGTCCCGAACAGTTCGCTGGCGAATAGTTCCTGGCGAACATCGCATGTTCGTGTTCGCCACGGCGGGCGAACATATGCAATGTTCGGTCCGCCCCCTATTCCATATCATTGAGTAAACTTTGACAACCCCCCCACCCGCCGCTTGGGGGTGGGGGTTGTCAAAGTTTACTCAATGATATGGGGGGGGACCTACTGTCCTCCCCCCGGCCCCCACCCCTTAGCGGTGGGTGGGGGCCCTAAATACTAAGAAGGGGGGGACCTAAGGTCCTCGCCCCTGGCCCCCACCCCTGAACGGTGGGTGGGGGCCCTAAATACTAAAAAGGGGGGGACACCTAATGTCTTCCCCCCTGGCCCCCACCCCTGAGCGGCGGGTGGGGGCCCTAAATACTAAAAAGGGGGGCACCTAATGTCCCCCCCCATTGTGATTTATTTGCACCCACCCACCGCTCAGGGGTGGGGGCCGGGGGGGGGAAGACCTTAGGTCTCCCCCCCATTTTAGTATTTAGGGCCCCCACCCGCCGCTCAGGGGTGGGGGTGGGGGGGAGGACCTTAGGTCCCCCCCCTTTTTAGTATTTAGGGCCCCCACCCGCTGCTCAGGGGTGGGGGCCGGGGGGGAGGACAGTAGGTCCCCCCTCATTATTTTTATGGCCCCCACCCACCACGCAGGGGTGGGGGGCGAGGACAGTAGGTCCCCCCATTATCTTTATGGCCCCCACCAGCCAACCCAGGGGTAGGGCCGGGGGGAGGGCAGTAGGTCCCCCCCCTCATTATCTTTATGGCCCCCACCCGCCGCCCAGGGGTGGGGGTAGGGGGGGAGGACAGTAGGTTGTAATTTATGGCCCCCATCCGTCGCACAGGGGTGGGGGCAGTAGGTTTTGTTTTGTTTTTTTGTTTTGTTTTTTGTTTTTTGTTTTTTTACAGTGAGCAGCCACTGGCTGCTCACTGCTTACTAAACATGCCCCTACTCGCTGCATAGCGAGTAGGGGCAGAATTTACTAATACTAAGTAATTTTTACTTAGTATTAGTAAATGTGGCTGAAAGACCAATTTAGGTCTTTCAGCCTTTTAGTAGATAGCTCTCTAATACCGTGGGAATTAGGGAGTTATCTACTAAACAGCTGCAAGATGCAGCCGCGGATCGGAGTTTGCATGCCACAGTCCAGGTGTTAGTCCAGTTGAAACAACTTTTCCATCACTATTGTGGCCAGAAAGAGTCCCTGTGTGTTTTAAAATTCGCCTGCCTATTTAAGTCTATGGAGGTTCGCGAACATTTGCCGAAATTCGTGTTCGCCGTTCGCAAACCTAAAATTTCATGTTCGCGACATCACTAGTTAGCACATTTGCTTCTTTTTATTTTTAATTAACTTTTTTGCCTTCCCTGCTGTTTACAACAAGGCTGCTGTTAGTTAAAACAATTGATGACCACGTACTAGTGACAAATGCCTGCGACTATAATTTGTGTATAAGCTTCTCTCCAAGATTGGAGATTTTCACTCACAATATCCCTAATGGGGCAGGCAAAGCGGGGCTAGACCTAAATTTTTTAATATACCAAACATTGAATGTGAGAGCACAGCCTTTGGCAGGCACTAGATTTATCTGACTGGCTCTTGAGATTTTAGCCCCGTTCAAAAACCCTGAACCCCTTACATTTGCATATTCCTCAGTCTCATTAGTTCAAGAAAAAAAAAAAAGAGCTATGTATAGATAAGTTGTCATAGTTGGCCCCCTTACAAAATTACAAAGTACAAGAGAGTATTATTGTTATGCCCTGAAAGTTTAGTTTACGTTGACTTTCACTACTGGACATTATAGTATTATCTGTGCTCCCCCTGCCTTGTGCCCTCACGGGAGAGGGAAGGGAGTAGCTTTGTTTATGTACTTCCAGTGTTAATATTCATTAGGGGGGCGGACTGTGCGTGTCCTGCGGTTATAAGAACTTTTTCAACAATGGGGATATACAGCCTACAATTTAATTATTATTGTGACTATGTGGGGACACTCCCAGAGTTCTTGGGGTACAGCAGCTATCCAAACGGGGGATTCATTTACTATTAGCACCCGATTTGCATTATTCTCTAGCTCTTTAGCAACAACGAAAGTAACAGATGGTATGCTTGACCCAAGGCTCTGGGCAGAACTCCAATCCACATTCTTATACATACCTGTTAATCCTCCATGCTCACAAAACAAGAAGAAGCTGTTTGCAGAACCACTATATTAACTAATAGGGGTGCGGTATTACCTAAACATTTGAATTCTCGGGCACGCACAGCTCTATTTTCCCGTTGCAGGAATCTGTATTTTATAAGGGGAAATATCATTTAAGTGTGGATACGAATAATACTCCCTTCCTCTGCTAGAAGGATATGCATGTGAAACCTCAGTATAAATGTCATACTATGCTTTCACTATAGTTCAGTATAGTTGGGCCGCCCTGTTGATTAGCAAATAATGGTAGACCCAAAGCCATGTCAAGGAAACATGATTGTCTCCTTCCCCCACGGTACTACTTATAAGTACCAGATTACATTTCTGTATATACTTTCTTTCTGTTTACCCCAGTTCTTTCTACCCTATGAACCCATCCTCGGTCATGGAGGGCCATTAAGACAAATCCTACCATTCAGGCTCCAGTACAGGTACATTATTACGATACAACTTACCAAAACAACACTATGAGAATTTACTCACACAATGTTAGGGGGTTGAATGTAGAGTTCTTCTGGATTGTATCAAGAAGGACAAAGTCGATATTGTATGTTTGCAGGAAACGCATTTTGTACATGGGAAGGTGCCAGGGTTTGGGACACAAGATTACCCAATACAGTATCATGCAACTTACTCATCCAAAACTACAGGAGTGTCACTCCTATTTCACAAAAGTCTCACTTTTGAGCTGCTATCTATTAAAAAAGATGCGCAAAGGCGATATTTAATCATTCAATGCCGAATTAACAATGCCATATACACGCTAGTAGGTCTATATGGCCCTAATTCTAATCAGATGAATTTCTTACATAGATTACTGAGTAAGATATCACACTTAAACTCAACCTCCCTTATAGTATGTGGAGACATGAACCATGTCTTACAACCATATATGGATATGACTATTTCTCCTTCGACCCCTAGATTTAAATCCTTGATACCTCAATGCAAAGCTATCACTAAACTTTTGTTAGACAACTACTTATTCGATACATGGCGGACAAAATACCCAAATGAGAAAAATTATACTTTTCACTCTAAAGTGCATGGAACTCATTCCAGAATAGATGTTATCCTGGTATCTAGAGATTTGCTCCCCTCGGTTGTACGTTGTACTATAGGAGATATAATGTGGTCGGACCACGCTCCAGTAACCCTTACGACTCAAGACGCTTATAAACATAGAGGGAAAGCCCCATGGCGACTAAATAACACCCTCTTACATGATGAGGTCTTTAACAATAAACTACAAACTGAGCTAACGGAACACTTTTGACTTAACAACCGACCGCACAACAGACCTACCGCAGTTTGGCAGGCCCACAAAGCCGTTGTTAGAGGACAGCTCATTAGCAGACCAGCCTACCTCAGACGTATTTCCCAGTAACACCACCTCACACTATTAACCAAATTATGGGACCTTAAGTTGGCTCAGTTCTTACATCCTAAAACAAACCTTACTACGGAAATTGAACTTGTCACGAAACAACTAAATGACCTCCTACTTCAGCAAACAGCACTCATAATGCAAACACTTAAAATGAAAACCTACACACAGGGAAATAAAGCCGGGAAAGAATTAGCATCACAACTGAGATACCAATTAACACAATCAAAAATCCCATATTTACTTACTAAGTCGGGAGAGAAAATATACAATCCATTAGATATTAACGCAGAAACCGCAGTTTATTACCAAACTCTTTACTCTTTACAATTTAAAAGACGATCCGCTAACGCACCAATCTTCCCAACTAGAAATTGAAAAATTTCTAAGGCATATTCATTTAAACAAGCTAACACAAGCCCAGAAAGATTTTTTAAGTGAACCCATCACGCTGACGGAGTTACAACAAACAATAAGCACACTCCCCTCGGGGAAATCACCTGGGCCGGATGGCTTTACAAAGGAGTATTATAAAGGGTGCTTCGAGGTCCTAGGACCTCACCTAGTGGACACTTTGAATCACATAATACACATGGGAGAGATGCCAGGTGAGATGCTCTTGGCACATATTGTTACTTTACCCAAACCTGGGAAACCACCTAATCAAACTAAAAATTTACGACCCATTTCGCTGTTAAATACGGACACTAGAAGGTATTAAATTTAAAATGATAATTCTCCCATAGCTGCAATACTTATTTCATATGCTCCAAGTTAAATTACCCAAACAGTTCTTTCAGGAGGCTCAAAACACTATTAATGCTTTTGTTTGGAACAATAAGAAACCCTGAACAGCTGCAAACACCATGTATTTAGCGTATAGAAATGGGGGAATGGGACTACCGCATATAATTACATATTATAAATCGACTATTATAGCCTCACTGATTAATGAACTACACCAATTTAACCAAGTATCTCCATGGGTAGCTTTAGAAGCAGAACTCACAAAGGGACACTCTATAACGCACTTAGCTTGGATACCCCCACAAATTAGGAAAAAGTATAAGGACATGTCACCACTTACAGCTACAACTTTGTGAGAATGGGATAAATTCCATACTGAACAGGGGTTAACTAAGACGATTTCTCCCATTTTACTCCTGGATTCCTTTTATGGAATGATACCCTTGGTGACCCTGACTAATTGGAGGGTCAGGGGATTAACACATCTAAGACAGCTGTACAACCGGGGGGAGCTGATACCATTTAAATCACTTCAATACACTTACCAACTACCCAATTCGACAGAATTTGCACACAGACAAATTACTTCCTGGTTGCACAAGAACAAAAACATGCTACCTACTGGTGCTAGATGGGAGGATTTGTCAATAATAGAAAAACTGTGCACGCAAGCCCAAAAACAACAAAAATTAATATCCCTACTATACAACTTCCATTTTCACCCACAGGATCCACATGCACTGCCATTTGTTAGAGCATGGGAATCAGAGTTGGGCAGGGAATTAGCACCACATCAGTGGGCTTACATATTGTGTGCGAACAAGAAACTTACACTTAATGCATCCCATCTGGAACTTACAAGGAAACTACTATACCGCTGGTATTTGGTTCCCACACGGTTGGTACACATAAATCCTGCATGTGCAGGCCTATGTTGGAGATGCAAAGCTGCCTCCGGCACCATGCTCCACATGTGGTGGTCGTGCCCATCCTTACAACCTCTGTGGACGGATACACAGTCCTTAATAAAAGATGTAACAGGAGTTACTTTTGAAAAGTGCCCAGAGAACTATTACAATACATGCCACCTAATCTAACAAAAACATCAAAATATCTAATATACCACATTCTGTTAGCAGTACTGACACTTATTAGTCGACATTGGCAATCACAATCTATTCCCCTGATGAGCCAATGCATAACCTTAATAGATAATGCAAGAAAATATGAGGCAATGGCTAGGTCCACTATGCCTCCACAAAAATTCTGGACAGAAGTGTGAAATCAATGGGATGCGTTCCAACACCCCAGCAGATGCGCTCACCCATCCTGCATTTGATAAACCACTGAGTTGGTAGATTGAGAATTCAACTTCTCTTAACAAATTTAGCGCAACATAACATGTTACGGATAAGGAATTTTATAGGCTGTCACGGCCGTGGCAAGCCTAAGAAGTTAAATGTAATCATGGCCCTCCCAACTCCTCTCCCTCCCCATTCTTTCCCCCCCCCCCCAGGTTTGAATGACCCTTTACTCACAGGTTTATTATACAGGTCTAAGGAACTGTGGGTCTATGACAATATATTCAATCGGGTATGTTATGAATGACTTCACCCTTTGTTATGCCCAGAATGTAGGGTAATTTGATCCTATTTCCAGATGTGAACACCATGATCAGCATATGTGTGAATATGTGCATGATAATATTGGTTAATACACTTTTCTTGCTTTTCATTATATTGTAACAAGAATTACTGTATATTGTATTGTACATATGAGACGAAACTCTGTTAAAATCCCACAGTACATGTAACATGCTTTTGTCTATGTACTTGTATGATCTACCAATAAAAATGTATGATCAAAAAAAAAAAAAAAAGGAAAAGGTAAAAAAAAATTATGGATGAATAGTAAAGATGTATGTTAGTTTTTTTTTTTCCAAAGTAAGATTCATCCTGTATGCCTCTTTGATCATAGGGTAATGATTAAATGGTATTTTTAATAGAAATCAGACCATTTCTGACATTTATAAGTGAGGCAATTCTAATCTACTAAATTACTGTATTATATTTGTATTTTGCAGACCCAGAAGAGGATAAATAAATAATATAATAATCTCACTAGGAGCCAAATTATGGGAAGAGGTCACCCAATGAACTCGCTAACGGGTTAAACTTGTTTTTTGATAAGCATATAACATTTTGCTTTTGTGGTTAAAGACTTTTGATACTCAGTTTGAACTATGTCCCAACCACATCATTGCAGGTACAATAAGCAATATGCTTTTATTACATTTGAAACATCTTAGTGTTTTCAACATATTTACAAAACTTATATTTGTGCTGACAATGAAAAAGTACCTAACTGCATGTCTGCATTACGCCCATGACCCAGACTGTCATTATTGCAAACAATGTATGAAGGCTATGCTTTCACTGTTGAGGTATACACCCCTAGACAGCCGTGCCTTATATACACAATGTAACTATACATTAAACCTTCAAAAGCTTGTTAATACTACATCTGTGCTGTACACTAGGATGGTGTGTGTGGTTTAGGTAATCTCATCCTAGCATTGTTGATTATTGGGAACAAAGACCATTAGTTAGGATGTTGTAGTAAGATATTAATACAATTTTGAAGAATTCTGAATTCAATGTTTTATGTTTTTAATATTTTATATATAGTTTTAAGTGTTAATCCAAGAGTATTGAATTATTTGGGATTATTAAAGTAATTAATTGGGAGTATCAAATCAAGGTTTAAGTTTAGGAAAAGAGTTTTATTGGGAATTATCCCCATATTTATATGTTAGTGTTTTGGTACTCATCCTGTCCATCAAGCATTTATATAGAGTGAGTTCTTCTCTCTCTGTACAAAGACATTCCAAAGGGAAATTATGTAAAGTTTCATAGAAGACAGATTGCCTGGAATATAAGCAAAGCAGAGAGAAGTACATGATACACAAGTAAAGGGTTTAACTGTAGGCTCTAATTTGACTTTTAACCTAGGTAATTGATAAATTGATAATAATAGATATATCCTTTTAGAAATTGTTCATATCGTATTGATCCTTGTGTTTGTATAATGGTAGATACCGTCCTGGAGTTTTTGTGCTACCTGATCATTGGGTGCTGCACACCAATCTCTCTCTGGCTGACCCTCTACTAACTCTTTTGCAATTACATCTGTTTGGTCAAAACCCATGCAGCCCAAAAAAACTGAGATGCCTACTTATGAGGACATAAACTATGTACGCAAGAACCTGGAAAAGCCTGAAGGTGCAGTGCTGTCTAATGCCACTGGTTTTGTAATAACCCTTTCAACAATTGGGGTGTTGCACAGAGCATTGTGGTGAACATCCAACAAACAAAAGAAGAACTAAGTGTCTTTAATGTATGTTTGGTTTGCCAAGGATGGATTCCCATGTTTTAAGGAACTGAGTGTGGATATGACTGGTTTTGATGGTACCGTTGGAGTGGGGTCATGATTAGGAGACATAGGACGCAAGGTGCAGGTTGGGATTATTGTCAGAATTGCAAGCTCGTGATTTAATATGTAAGTGGGTCTTCTCAATCATCAAGCAGTGTTTCCTATTTCCTCCCAATACCGAAGCTATGTACTCACAGGTACAGGTATTATAAGTCACAAGTGGTGTCAACATGAGGAAGGACATGGGTGCCCACTCAGGGTTTCCCCAGATGTGCTTTTTTCTCAAATTTGAGTTTTTGCCACTGAATTTTTTACCTGGCCACAGATCACCGGGTGGACTCGTAATCCGATACTCTAGTTCACTGATGAGGGATAGGTATTATTGCCACTATGAATATATGCGGTCACTTTGTGAACGAAGGAGGGAAACTGTTGAGAATAATACACTTTGCCTATATACAATGCTTAGTGACCCTAGGCTCAAGCTACAGATGACCGGATGTCCAGTGTGTTTAAAATTGGCTATCTTGGAGCATGTCAGCTTTTGGGAACAATACACTTTGTCTACATACAATGCTTAGTGAATATAACCCTAGAAAAGAGCTATAGAACATTGTGTAACTGGTGTTAGTGTTATTTTCTTTGTGTTTCTGCCGTTGATCATAACTGCTTAGTAATGTGTGATTTAGAACTTCTTTAATTCTAAGTGCATAGTTATATTGAAACTTAGCTTTGTGCAAGGCCTTAACATGAAGATACATCTGCAAGCTAGTTATTGGTAGGATTGGATAATGCTTGTAAGACCACCCCTGTTTCCTGCTAAATATAACCTGTTACACAACCTATTAAATGTTAGAAGTCAACTTGAACCTTACATTGCCTTGTCTCGTTCATTGGGGCTCCTCACCAGTGGGGTAATTATCGCACTGGAGGCTGAAAAGGCGTTTGACTGTTTAAACTGGAACTACATGGTAGCCACACTCAGGGCCTTTAGATTGTCACAGTCATGCATCTCCAGCATATTGGCACTATATACAGCACCTTCAGCTAAAGTGTTTAACACAGGTTTTATGTGCAGAACCTTCTCAATAACAAATGGAACTCGCGAGGGATGCCTACTTTTGTAACAACAAAACATTTAATTTGTTTTAACTAGTATCCATATGTCTTGAAGATCTTGTGATTTAAGTATATAATATATTTCACAAGAATGTATATTCCTTATAAAACATATAACTGATATAATTAATGAATTGGGTACTAAAAAGTACTAGAGAACACATAATACTGTGGTCTAAAGAATAATTAATTACCAGAAGGACACTTAATTAAAACTCCACAAACTTGTAAAATAATCACAGAAAACACCAAATGTGCAATATTGGAGTAAAGTACAGGAAGTTCTGCCCCAGCAGAAAACAGCTATTTATAGCAATAGTTAGGAATACCCTTTTAAAAGCATAATAAATCTTGACTATTCTTATAGGATCTATGCTTACTGGTATATTCCTATTTTAATATTTGACATGTATCCTATACACCACTGGGGAGGTGTGTATAGACTTAGTTGCTCTGCAAAATACTGTTATTATATTTGTATTAGAACCCATTAGAATTTACTATGGGACCAATCTACTAAGCGCTTAAACATTTTTGTTTTGTATCTATAATTTTAATGGTAATTGCATTTTAACAGTGAAAGCATTGGATTGGCTAAGAATCGGCCATTTTGATGTTGTCACAAAGGGGACGAAGCCAGCACCGGCGGATCCCCGCTGAGCTGGTATGAGGTG